ATGGTAACCCGGACTTTTGACTCTTATACACTGGGAACCGTTACCTCAACAAGGACGTGAGAATTATAACAACCTTTAACATGAAAATTTTTGCCTTGAACATGATTTACTGATCTGACTTAGGAAATTTGAGTTTATTCCTCGAATTAAATCAAGGAATTTCTCCCTGAAGTCTGCCACTTGATTGGCAAAATGGCAGTTTTCGATAGAAATATCTGTAAAACATGATTATTAAGATTTGTTTAGCACAAGTGCTTACAAATCTCCTGACAAGTTGCTAACTTGACTTGAATAAATCTAGAATTGAATCCAGAGTTCTTAAACTTAATCCCTTTCTTAATCCCTTTCTAAGGTTCTGAATCTACTCTCCCACGATACGGGGATCTCCCTGCCCAGAGAATTTCTCAACATGATAGTCGCAGAACTGTGCGACTACTATAGCCTGAGTAGGAGCCGGGTGATCGGGTTCCCTACTGGGCGGCATCTGAACATTGGAAAAGTTCAAAATTATTGAACACCTGATAATATTCTGACTGATTACTAAGGCACACAGATCTCTTGATGAATTGCCAAAAAGTGGCCGATAAATACTGACGTGAAGCCTGAGGAACTCTAGAGTCATATCCAAAGATACTAAATTCTAGAGTCATGTCTGAATATACTAAATTCTAGAGTTATATCTGAACTCTAAAGTCTGAATCTGATTCGAGCATCTTAACTAAATCTGATTACTGATTTTCTGAGCATAGACAAAGTAATATGTTTATAACTGAAAACTGAATCAGCACTTACCTGTAGTCGGCGAGGCGTGCGCGTGACGGTTCAGGTTTTTCTGAAAAACTGAATGAAAAACTTTTCAGAGACGCAGAAACGTGCTCTGATACCATTTGTAACATCCCGACTTTTAAACACTATCAGAGTATGCAATTTTTTGCAATTTTCTGAATAAATAAATAAAATTCTTATTTTGCGAAAACTGATTCGGATGCTACCGTGAAAAACTTGATTTTTCTGAAAACCGTTAAAATTTTAAACTGATAAATAAAAACGGTTATAACATCTTATCCGACTAACGTCGGAACAAAAACTGATAATAAGTACTGAAAGTTTTAGCGGAAATAATTGCGTGGTAAAACATATATACATAAATCACAAATATCCTGAACAGCCCGCCCGTTCACTCCTTGTCTCCGACCCTGCGACCTGAAAAAAACATGAAATGTGTGGGGGCGTGAGCACTAAAACTGTAACAGCCCAGTCAACCCGCTACAGAATATTGTCCGCCTTGGGTATACACCAGATCATTCCCTCACGGTT